ATACACTGCATGGGCTAAGCTAGTCCCTTCTTCTCTCCAGATGCCAGTCTTCAGCTAGATTGTAGGAAGTTATAACGTCAAAACATGTGAACAATAATACATTCATCAATAGTGTGTATTATACTGTATTAATGTGAGATTTCTTTACTTTTTGTCCTAAATTGAAGGGATGGTGATGTGCTTATTTGGTCTCACTGTTGTACTGTTTTAAGACTTATGTGCAAATACTTCAATAATGAGTTCATGGAATTTCTGGTATGATTATGTAAAGATTTTGTGGAAGGTGAGGTTATAAAGGGAAAATGTACATTCCTTCTCCTTGGTAATTAAATCTAGTGAAAATCAGAGCTGTTTTAGATTCTGCATCACATTCCCTGTTTTTCAAATGTTTTGCATTTGCAGAGCCTTTAATGAGTTTGGCCTAAAGGAGTTTTTCTCAAATCCATGTGTTTTTGATTCCCTCAAAGTCAGCTCTTACCCAAACTATTTTAATTATTTATTTGTGTTCCAAGGGGCCTGTAGAAGTTTCACTAAAGAGCTCTTTATGTCTAAGTTTTTTTAATATTTGAAAGTCATTTTATTCTAAACACCTTGGGGTTCTACTCCTAATATCATTGAGATAATTTTATGTTAGGTCTTCACTTTTATTTCTAACACCATTGGGGTGAAATATATTTATTTTGGTCAAATAAATCCTCTGCATTTCTAATGTGGCTATTGTAACAGTTCATAATGGATTATTTTTGTTCAGTTGATTCCCTTTTGTCTTAACAACTTTTAATCTTATAAACTACATGCTCCTTCAAATATTCTGTGGAAAGAAAGTTCCCATCTTGCCTTATGATTTGCATTTTGACTTTAATTATATGAGAGACAGAAACAAGAGAAAACATATGAAATTTGGGATAAAATGGGCATAACTATTAACCCTCCAAGCAAGATAAAGTTATATTTTTCCAATAAACAACATCTATTTTTGTGATAATACTTAAATATACAGATGATCTTCTTTGAGTTTACCTACAGTAAAAAAGAAAATGTTTTATTGATCCAAATTAATAATAAACTTCATGATATGAATACATGTTGCTTCCACTGGAAAATTCAGTTACTGTATATTTATTAATGTATTTAATTTGAAACACTCATTATACTCTTGTTATGTGTATATGAAGAAAGTATTTTCATTTCTTCATTGTTCAGTGTATTAAAAAATCTGCTCTATATCCCTAGTGCTTTAGATATATTTAATCAGTACCTAAGATAAAGTCCCTATTAAAAGGGAAAGAGCATATATACTTATATACACTAGTATATAAGTATAATGACAAGTCATTATGAGTTAGTTTAATGATATGCCTATTTAGAAAGATGGCACTAGTAGGTTCTTCCTTAGGGAGGCCTATCTTGCCACAAATCCTTGGCTCTGCTTCTGGTTCCAGTTATGCATTTCAATTTGTGCAGTAAATCTTTAATCCAATCAGAAAGTGGTTGTTGTTTTTCATGGCATTAATTCTACAATAGCACAATTGGGCATACTTTACCACACCAGTTATTATGGTAGCTCCCAAAATAATGGTAAGTAACATAATGACTTATAGTTATATAAGTGCACTTATAAGTGCATCTTTCAATCCTCATTATTTGAACTCCTTGCTGTATATGGTAATGAACACACAGATCTACAATGGCTAAAAGTGGAGAAAGTAAGAGAATGTGGACTGCCTCTAAATGGAATATCAATGCCATATTCCCTTCTCTAAGACACAGGGATAATTGCTGAAGAGCCATCTGAATATTGTTGTGAATGACAAGGAGACATCATTTTCCAGAAAGAGAAGGGTAGTTGCATTATGGATTCACAGTAGTTGAGACAGCATGCACAAAACCTATGCAAGCTCAAGTGAGAAACACTTCAGCATGCATTGGGGAAATACATAATAGTGGGTGGGAAAAGGAGAAAGGTTTTCTTTAAGCATGTGGCCCCTGGTGGGTTGACCACATTCCAGAGGAAGACCATACATCTAAGAATATGTGGACAACACTACTGTTGCTGTTTGTAAAAAGGAGGACACAGAGATGGATGAGTAGTGTTGAAGGTTGATCTGGAAGAAAGTGGAGGGAGGAAATGTGGTCAAATACATAGAATGAATTCTCAAGGAACTTATAAAATGGAAGAAAAAAGAGAGACAGAGAGAGAAAGGAAGCACAGAAACATACATACAGAGAATCCACTTGTTTTTTGGTCAATTTCATGAACCAAGGACATTTTAGAATTTTTTTTCTGTGATTTATTCAAGAAATGAAACATTCATTTCACTTGGATTACATAGTTTGAAAAATAGAGTCTCTCTGCATGAAATGAATTTTTTTTCGAGACAGGGTTTCTCTGTGTACCTTTGGAGCCTATCCTGGCACTCGCTCTGTAGACCAGGCAGGCCTCAAACTCACAGAGATCCACCTGCCTCTGCCTCCCGAGTAATGGGATTAAAGTTATGCACCACCACTGCCTGGCCTATAAAATGATTATTACTGGAACATGTTCTAGTACAATTTTTCTATACTTTTTTATTTAAATCAGAAACAATCTCATTTTATATATTAATCCCAGTTGCCTCTCCCTCCCATCATCCCATGCTCCCCACTGACACCCTCCTCCATCCCATCCCTCTTCTGCACCATAGAAAGGATGAGGCCTTCCATGGGGTTCATCAATATCTATAAGATCATTTGGGGCAGGGCCTAGACCCTCCCCCAATTGTCTAGCCTTAGAGGGTATCCCTCTATGGGTAATGTGCTCCCAATGTCCATTTGTACACTTGGGATAAATACTGTTACACTACCAGAGGCCCCATAGACTGCCCAGGTCTCCTAACTCACACCCAAGTTCAGGAGACCTGGTTCTGTCCTTTGATGGTCGTTTTCAAGCTGTCAGTCTGGGGTGCATGAGCTCCCCCTTATTCATGTCAGCTGTTTCTGTGGTTTACCGAGTCTGGTTCTGACCCCTTTGCTCATCCTTCCTCCCTCTCTGCAACTGGATTCCAGAGTTTATCTCAGTGTTTAGCTGTGTCTAGTACACTTTACATATAAGATAGTCTACTAAATGTTAACATACATTGCTAACACAAAATAAACCAAGTAGCAAGTGGGTACTTGTAGCAGATAAAGAAGGGAAGAAAGGAATTCCTTTTTCAAGTCTTCAAATTTGAAAAATGAGATCTCTAACTAATAAGTTGTCTAGAGTTAATAACTTTGTTATAAATATATAATATATTTAGATTAATGCTAATTATTGTGATGATATGTTATTTATGATTTAATAAAGCTTGCCTGAGGGTTCAGAATGCAAAGCTAGCCACAAACCATAGAGATCAGTCAGTGGTGATACACACCTTTAAACCCAGCAGCCATACTAGCTAGTCATAGAATTATGTGGTGGAGGAACATAACTTTAATCCCAAGACTCATAAGACAGGCAGATTGGTCTCTGCTAGCTCAAGGCCACACTGAGCTACTTGAAATTGATCCAGTCCTAAAGAGAAACAACTCACACAAAGATGATCTCAGCATTTGGGATCACACACCTTTAATCCTATCATTAGAAGTATAAAAGGAAGAAGCAAGGGGTCTCACATGAAGATTTAGTCTCCAGACAGGAAAGGCATAGTATTACAGTCTGAGGTTTGGTGGAAAGCATTGCTCTCTGAAGAGACATGGAGACAGGATCACCCATTTTGGTCTGAGATAGAGGTGAGAGCTAGAGGCCTAGCTGCTTTTCTTTTATGGTCTTGAACACCAATATCCATCTCTAGGTTTTTATTTTTTATGTTATGAATTACTAAATATTATCATGGTAAACCATTAATGAACTGAAATGAAGCAAATCATTATGCCCTATGTGCATGTACAAGTTTTTACTTTAATAATCTGTCTGTTGGAACAGGGAGACATTATTTGTCCCCAGGGCCAAAATTAAAAGTCACACCTTCATTTGATATGGAAAATCTTTCTAGAAGTAAAAATGTTTTAATATGGTAGTTTTTTTCTAGAAACTTAAATTTCCATAGCAAAATCCAATGATGGAGAGAAGACTATGTCTATAACATAATCAAAGTCGAAGGAAATAAACCAAGAAAACATAAAGCTTTGAAAAAGGCGTTGTATCACAGCAAAGATAATCTTTTTCTATTTGCATATCTTGTTCTCATATGGAGCTTACAAAAGGAAAGTCATATGGAAATTTCTATTGTTTGGATTAGTGAAGAGCAGCATCATGGTAACTGTGATGCTATTCTGTCTAATTGTAATGTAAGTTGTAAATCAGTGTAGAATGTTACATGAAGCTTATGGTGAAAGAAAACTCCATTTCATAAAGCCCATTAGTAAGAGGGGTTATCTAAATATGTTTTGACAATTCTGTTAAATGCTGAAGCTGTTGCACATAGGTAATATTTACTAAGCACACAATAAAGGATCATAATCAGTAGCCTTAAATGATTCAAGTTTAGCAAGGAGCCATTATAATAGTTTGCTAAGGCTGATTATAAACAGGGTAAGTGTAGTTTAGAAACAGGGACTGATTCTTGCCTAATAACAAACTTAACCAATTCACTTTGTCTTTCATTTGGATCTTTTAGTTTCAGTTCATGAGGAAAGTGTTGTTTGCATTATCTCAAACTTTGCCAAACCACTAACGGATTTAGTTTTTACTAGAACACCCATTTTTATGAGAAGAAAATCACTTCAAAAGTGAACTCAATTTGCTCAAATTACGACATTTTCTTCAGCACTGGGCTTCCTGAAGATGAACTGATATGTTTTAAGATGAAAAAGTATCATATAATCTTATGCTTAGGTGAAAGAGAGAATGGTTTCCCAAGCTGCTACCCAGGTCAAAAGAGAAAAAGAGAGGAAAAAGCTCATTGCTCCTGAGCAAAGCTATTTCAGGTAGATGCCCTGACAGGGCTGGCATAACAAGTATGATGACCATCCGTTCTTACCTTCAGACAAACCATATTGTCAGACTTTAGCAAAATGATTAGGTTTTCTTCTCAGAAGAATACTTTTTAATGATTGAGCTGAAATGGCAAATGTATTAATAATATTACAATTACTAATTACTATGTTTGCTTTTGATTAAATAGTGTTATACATTGATGTAGCCACATCCATCTAATTATTACTGTGACCCTGTGAGAAAATTTTGCTACATTCTTTATTCAACATGAACTTGGGAAAGCTACAAAGCCAGCCAGACTTAACTGTAATGCTAAATGGAAACCAATACAAATGATACCAAGATCTTATCTTGAAAATGTGAAAGAAAGTCATATTCAGTTTTTAGTGCTTCAGTTAGATCCTGCTGTGTGTCAGGATTTGATAGACAATAGCATGAACTAAAAATTTATTTTGTTTTTCCCTTTGAGGCTATGGTCTTCCTAATTTTTCTAATAAGTATGATAAAATTTCCACAAATAATGGGGCATATATGTTTACATTTTTATTTTAAAAATGTAAAAAAATCATTCAGTATTAAAGGGTTGTACTTCTCTTTCTCTGAAATGTTTTATTTTATGCAACCCTACTAGCATATTCATTCATATGTACACATCTCCTAGCACAATGCTTGGTTCTTAATTGTGATAAAATAAGCCATTCATGCTCCTTTATGAAGTTATATTTAATGAAAAAGCTTCAGTTAAAACTGTGCTGTACAATAAATCCTTTCAGTTTTCATCTTGCTTTGAATATCATTTAATTACTAGAATGAAAACATTAAAGCTTCACCTAACAACAAATACAGTCTTTAATAAATGGCATTTTGTTTCCCCTTAGAAAGAGAATACTCAGACTCACAATGAAATACTTCATACAAAAAATGCAATGATGCAATAAATCTAACTAGAAGCTGGTTATATTAACAACTGGTCCAGGATACCAATTTCTCAACAATGAATGTTAAATCACACCCCCACCAACTATGTGCAGTGCAAGTTAATTTTGTCTGTAGTCAGTTGAATGTCAAATGAAAAAAAAAGGGATTATTCTATTCATTTAAATTAAAATTTTAGCCATGGGCTATTTAGTAAGTGAAGTAAGTGCCTTTTGCATAAGACAAACATTGACTTAGTGAATTATTGGAGGTACCAAGAGACACTACTAATGTGTTTCATGGTTCAGAGGCTACATCTGCCAAAAATTCATGGCAATCAATCAACATTTTTTCTGCTTTATTTTGTATCCTAACCCACTGGGGGTAATTATCGAGAGTGGAATTTCCTTTTTTATATGAAGTTGTTTGGTATATTGATTAACCTATTGTACCTTTGTGACTGCTTTAAATGCAGTTAAAATATTAAGACTGTAATCTGTTTTTGTTGTTTTATAGAAAAGTGTATCTCACTTCAGACAATACACAATTATTCACTTTTGAATAGAATTAATTTTCTCTGTGTGTTGTTATAATCTACAATAAAAGCTAGAAATTGAACAAAGGAATAAAAATGAATAATTTATTATTTTTATTCCTGACAGATTTTTGCCTTGATTTCTAGGTTAGGTTTTGGTATAACCGAGGGTTCCCCAGGCTCAGTATATCTGTGTGCGAGAAGTTTCCCAGTTCACTGAAACACATGTGTGAAGAGTGAGTTTATAAGTGCTTACCTATATGTAGCAGTGATTTAGACTTACATGCAAAAATGATTTATTTAAATGAATGTTCTCAAGGAAAGCATGAGTCAAGTTCACACTAGGTTTTTGTTTCCATTTTGAGAGCTTCTATTCAGTTGGTGTGTCTCCTACCCATCAACGGAACAATGGTACACGAAAGCATTTAAATGAATTTACAGGACTTTGATACCAGAAGGAGAGTCACCATAGTCTAGCTTTCTGAAGAATGGTGGGAGATAATTTCTAATCCAGGCATTATTCCTCATTGTCAAGATTTGATCAATCGATTATGGTTGTGTTTCAGTTGGCCAGCACAATAGGTTTAAATGTGGTAGAAATTTAAAAGATGTAAAAAATTATATAAAATCTAGATTTTCAGTTTTTAATTGACAAAAGTATTAGAACATCTGGTAGTCCTGAGTCCCTGGCAATGCATCTAAAGCTGAGTGAGAGAATCCCTATGTCCAAGGTCCTTCAGATGCCTTCCCAGAAGTGCACTGGCTATTAAGCTCCCACATCCATCATACTTTATTTGTGGATATGAAATTTTCATAACTCTGTCATCTTATGATCAGAAATGCCTACATAGAACCTAAACTCAGACAAACTCTGTTATTTCATTATGTATTCTATCACTGACTAGTCCTTAATGACCTAGAACTTTCTGCTTTTGATACAAAATAAACACATAACCATTCAAAAAATATTGAATTTGCCCATCAACAGTTACAGGATATTTTGGATGTAAAGAGGTTTTTCAAAAGATAATCTGGAACATGCTGGAAATATTCATCAGACTATTTCTGTGAATTTTGCAAGGATTTAAAAAAATGAAGTAAAATGGAAAGCAATTGCAGTACAGTGGCTTTAAAATTCTGCCATTCTTCTGGGAATATATGGAGATGTTACACTTACAGACATATGAACATGAGAGGAGGAAATCTCATGAGGCCTCAACTCTACACAAAGAACTGCAGGCAACTAAAGAATGCTTAGAGCTAGAGTAACAGCCTTCCTTGGGGAAATGCCTTCAAACTGGTTTATCTAATACCAAGTGGTCCACTCTCAAGTAATGTTCAGACAAGCAACATTAAACAGACTGAATAGATTATATTTATATATTTAGTAATACTAGTAATTAACATATATTATTCCTTTAACTATACATATAAATATATATAACTGCATATGTGCATAAGTATACACACAGTTAAAGAAGTAGAGGACTTTGAGAAAGAGCAAGAGATAGTACATGGTAAAGACTGGAAAGAAGAAAGGAAAATGATATGTGTATATGTGTGTGTGTGTGTGTGTGTGTGTGTGTGTGTGTGTGCGTGTGTGTGTGTATTCATACCATTTGTTAGCCAGGAGTATATGGTTCAACTGGAAATTAATCTGGAGGGCAATTTACAGAAAGAGCAACCTCCTTGGAAGCAGGGGTGTAAAGCTAGCAGGCAACAATTTGTTCTTACCCAAAGCCATTGACCTAGGATAATAAAAAATAAAGTATGTTATCAAAAATTACATGCAATTAAATAAAGTGCAATTGTTTTGCTTATGTCTATGGTTCTCATTTCTGACATACACAGGGATGTTTTGTTATTATTCATTTTGGCTACTATAAGCAGTATAATAAGTTATGTTTTATTAGTAAAGTTTATCTTGTTTGATGAACACTTTTTAAAAGTCAATTTGCTTCATTTGCAACTTATTTCCTTTACTAGTCACTTATGCCTTTATAAGTTACCAACCTATTTAATATCTCAAGTGTAAATAAATTATGCATTCATATAAAAGAACTAACTTGGATGTATTTTAAAGCTATATATAGTTCTTGATCATATTTTAATGTTTTATTTACTATCATTTCATTTATAGAAATTTGAAACTACTTTCTCTTTCTGTATTTTCTGTCTCCTCTTAATATTCCTTCTTCTACCATATCTGCCTCCTATAAATTCATATCATTAGAGGGACTTTTAACTACATAAATATCTTGTCATTAATTGAATGAGATTACCTTTAATAGTAGAATATTTCATATTATTCCATGAGTAAATTATTTTATCTCCAATTTTGGAAAATTACCTGCATATGTAGCAAATAAAAGCAATGGATCTTTATTATTTTATAGAATAAATGGATCAGAAATTCAGATGGTACCTTCCAAGGTAGGCCAGGCTCAGTGTCCAGTGGGCAGCGAAAAACTCAACTTGGAAGATTCGTTCTCAATGTAGTTCCTTTCAAGACACTCTAACACCCCTACTGAGTAACACGGATTTAGTTTCTCAACATTTAAACTTTCCCACAGGGCTATTTGTGTGTTATCTTAAATTGAAAGTCATTTGTGTTCAATAAGTTATATAAAATAATTAAATATGTGTGTCCGGGTGTCATGGTATAGGCAAGGAAATCACATATGATAATTTCTGCAGTTGTAAGAGGGGAATACAGAAGTGTGTGAGCAAGTACAATAATGGTAGCCCGAGTTGACAAATAACAGTTTCCTTGAAAACATACACCAATTTCTGCATGGTGAGCTAGGCTATTTGCTTTTGTCCATCAAAAGCATTTGAAAATGCCAACAGAAATTTCAGGATGATAAGGTTATTCAGACTGCAGTAGATGACCAGCATTCTCAGATATGAAAGAGGTCTACAAGTTTAAAGAAAACAACTGAGAGTAGTAACTCTGGAGGGAGAAACCCTGATTATAGGTACAACTGACCATGCCTGTGTGGGGGAATGCTGACCATGCCCACTTGGGGCTGGCACAGGTGCCTCTGACCATTCCCTCTTGGAGTGACATAGCAAGGGTTTAAATATCAGAGAGGCATGCACGTGGCCCTCATTTTCCCTCTCCCACCTGGCTGAGTGGACGAGTAGGCATCCTGTCACTGGCTCTGTTATGTGAGTGCTTTCTCAATAAACTATCTTTGATCTATCTAATTCTGACTCCATATTGCATTCGGCTTTATACACCTGCTTGGTCATAGTCCCAGATACATAACGGGTTTAAGAAGCAGCTGTCTCTTGCTTGGCTGACCTGACTGGGAGGCATTTCTGGGTCTGTCCTGCTCAGGTGCAAACCTGGTCACTGGTTACCTTGAGTAAGTATTTTCCATAATAAACTACCTGTTATCAATCTATCTCTAACTCCACTTTGTAATCATCAATAACTCTCCATGATAAAATTCACGATTTTCTGTGACAATTAGTTCACTAAAATACTTCTATGTGCTACTGTGTGCTAACAAGTTTTGTGATTGTGTTACTGGCATTGGAAATTGGTCTCTGGCCTCATATATGCTAAACAGGTTCTCTATCCATTTGTCATGTCACTGTCCCATGGAACTGAAGGTACTGTTGGTAAATATGATTTTTATGTCATAAATCAAATATTTCAAAAT